GGTCAGGCAAATGGGCATGTGTGCCAGGAAATACTTGCATCCCATGTAACTAAGGTTTATCATTCACATCTTCTGCCTGCCATTAATGATACAGTACTTTTTTCTATAAAAAGACGTCTCGTATGTACACCGGTTCTGTGCATTAAGTGTGTGTGGTCAGCAGTTCGGACTTTCTATCTACTTCCATTAGGCCAAAAGAGGGAGTCAAGAGCCGTTGGCTTTCAGGACGCATCTTCAGATGTCACTGACAGGGATTGCTTTTAAGGTGGAGGGAGATTAGAAGTTGGGTTAATAAAGAAATGTGTGTTTTAAAAATACTTTGATTGAAACAAGTTGCTCCCAAATAGATGCAGTTAAGGCAATTTGGTAACGTGCCGATAGCCCACAGCACTGGACTGCTAATTCTAAGGATATCAATCCTGAAGTGACTGATGAATGGCGGATCTTCTTTCAGGACGAAAATGATGGAAAAAGGAATGACCTGAGGATGTTGCCAATTCAACAATCGCCTCTTCCTCAAAGACATCAACCACTTTTTTAAGGAAACTATTACAGCTTCACCTGGTAATCACATGAACTGTGGGCTTGTCACGACCCTGTCAAGTGTGTCTGTGCTGCACTAAACCACTCCCAAACAATTTCAGACCTTGATGAAGGGATGTGGTTGGAGAATCTTCAACGGCATCTTTAAAATACTTGCTTCCACACATTTTTCTTCATCATTGCTTGCATAACTAGAAGTTCTGAAAGCAAATCTCATAAAATCGTAAAAATTTTTATTTGTTAGTGAAAAATTTGGTGGTCAAGGCTTAAAAAAGTTGAAAGTAGTCTTTGTTATTACATTATGAAACGTTGGGAGGGTCTGCGAGTATTGAACTCTGACACCGAAAGTACTTTCTTATGTAAAGCGCTGTCAACATCCTACGTTGGGTAATAGATTAAACCTCTTAAGCACACATAGGATTATTCACAAAATGTCTAGATTATCCACCTTCTATTTCAGTTCCTTCTCCTTCTACGAGCCTCCAAAAATTGGCCCACATATGGAATTTTTCCGAAAGCACCTGCAATAATAGCGGTTGTACGCTGGTCCCAAGCCAAGACCACGAAAAGAGGTTAACAGAACTGTCCATATTGTCCTCATAATGGTCTTTATATGGCCACCTAAATTTCAAATGACGCCGCTCTCCTTTCAGGTAACTAATTCATTAGTGGTTAACAAACGAGGAAGACTTTGAAAGTCATAGAAGTTACTACCCAGGATTGTGCTGCATACGATTTGGTACTTATTGCCTTTGACAAATACTATTTTGGTGGTGGATAAAACTTGTAAATATGTTGCCATTTAGTCACTTTATGTAATACATCTTTAAGGGTTTAAATACTAGTAAGAGAAGATTGACATTAAAGCTCTGTGTTTCAAAGGGAGGTCGGTTACCCAGATCAACTGTTCATTGTCTTTACAAGTGCTGTTCCTCAGTCTGGGACACTATTTTCCACCTCTGTTAGTGGTTCAACTAAACCCATCTGTTTGAACCCATTAAGCATACATGGAACGAATGTCACAAATACGTGACACGGGTGATTAAAAGTTTGTGCTCTTAAAATGAGGCAACTGCTACTACAAGTTGTGTACTAAAGTTTCTCTTAGTCCGCTGAAGTAAAAGTCCATTCATTTTATGCCTAAACTGTTTTATTACCGTGACAAATTGGTACAGTCTAGAGCACCAGAATGAGAGGCAAATGGGAATGAAAAATGGGATTAATTATGCAGCTTAGTGGTGATGAATGGCAAAGTGGTCATATCACACTAACCAAGGAGCAGTTTAGATCGAATTGGAGCGTTTATAAAGTGTGCTTTGTGCACGAGTTTGTTTAATAGACCAGATATTCTCCAAACACAAAGTAACTTGAATAGACTTTCGATTTAGGTGAAAAGTTACTTTCGTAGAGAGCTCTCATCGCTCGACAACAACTATTCACAAATCAATTCATTGACAGGATATGCGTGGTTTTTTCCTTTTAGGACATGCTGAAGCTCATAATTCCCTCTACTGGAAAGGTCAACTCGTTAGGTCCCAGCGTCACTTATATGTGACGCCTCGATTGGCCTGTTTGATTTAGCTATCACAAATAATTGAAAAATGGCCTATTGAAAGCATAGACACTGTTCATGATCTAAAGTACGTCACTCGTACAGGTCAAAAAAGTGCAAATGTTGTCGTATCGTCTGGGCTGTGACAGTCTAGTGTCAACTGAGGCAGACTGTGGTAGTGTGGGCATTAAATAACTGCAAAAAATTTTAAACGACCTCTTGTCGCTTTAGCATATATCATGACCAAGTGGAACCCTGAAATGTGCACAACTCTTCGAAGTGGATTGATAAATTACGAGGGATTATTTGACACAGCATCAGCGGTTTGTACTATTCGTACCACAAATGTTGACCAGTGGTTTATCACACCATTCCTCTCATCAGTGCATAATCTCCATCACAAAAAGAATCGAGGACCTAGACCATCTGACGTATGGTCGTTTGTCTCCATGCTGCACCAGTTGGGTCTGTTGTGGCCATCGCCTGCAACTCATGCATTTGAACAAGTCAGTTGATCCTAACAGTCTATTTCACTTGGTCGCCTTGTTCCATTCAACGAGGAATTAAACTAGCTTATCCACCTAATGAGCTTCAAGAAGCATTCAAGCTTACCTCCGCGCTGCTTCCGAATAATACATACCTGGGCACAGAAAGCAAGGCCACGGCGATGTTGTGAGGTCTTTCTTAATGCTTTAAATCCAAATCTGCCTATTTTCGGCTTAAAATAAATTACAAAGATTGGAAAATTTTCCCTTTAAAGTCTTCAAGGTACAACTGTTTCCTTAGTCGGGTTCTACATCCTCTCCCGTACCGAGACTAAAAGGTACAAATCGGTGTTTAAGTGCCTTTAAAATAAGTAAGCATTTGGCGAAGTGACAACATTCGCCTTCACTGCAAAACTCTTCATTATGTAACCGAAACGCAAAAAAGATCCTTTTCGCCTTTAATGAGCAAAATCAGCATATTTTTCCTCCCTTCCTTAGAAAAAAGGCAGTAGCGAAAACTGAAAGCGGACATGACTGCCTAGACATGGATGTAGGGCTAAGATATCAAATAAAGGAGTGCCTTTGAAGTGTTACTAATCGCCCATGCAACACAGGACGGTGGGAGTGAAGGCGCTGAAAGTTCTCTAGGTCTTGTGATCCGCTACTCTTTTTGAAGAGGTATATTTTAGCATCTGATCAGGAAAACCCCAAAAAACACCTGCTGAGGTGAGACCGACCCAAAGGTTCCGGCAAAGCGGCTTTCCGCAGCAGAATTGTCGCACCTGGATCAGTAACGGGGCCCTGCACACACGCACGCACCCATGCATGCACGCAAATCCACAAACCGTGTGTGTCCCACTACCCCTCCAATCGTCGTGCGGCTCACCACACACATGCCCACTGACACGCAAATACGCACCCACACGCACACATGCACACACGTGCATAAAGCACCCAACCCACCATTTTTCTCCCCACTTAGGCAAATGTCTACATGACCATAAACAGCATAATGATCAGGTAGAACTAGGAATGCCTCAAAATTCAGCCGTCACCACCTCTGTCAGACCGCAGAGCAACTTTGTTTTCCCACTTTCCTTGGTCATGACCTCGTTTAAGGGACCACCACTGTCTTGGATGCTTCTCCATTTCCTTTTACTTCTTCTCCTCTCCCTTCATACCCATCCGACACACGGAACTACCGAGTCCTGGCACTGCGAGGTGCCCTTCTTCCTCCCCCCTGATCCTTCTCGACCTTGTCGACACGCATTTCGCGACGATCCGGAGACGAGTGCTCTGCTCGCGGACTTTGTTGTCATTGGTCATCCGACGCCCACCTATCGACACAGTCCGGGAGTCCTTTACAATGCCAGTGTTCTTGTCGAACAGGTGTTGAAACGTCCCCGTTTATCTATATACCCTGTGAGGGAGGGCTTTCCCATTCTCACGGGCCCCTTCTCACAGTGGACAGATTTGGGTCGCTGTTGGATCAACGTCCACTCCTCACGGAAGTATATTTTTTTCATTGATCGACCCAACTGGGCGGGATTTTTTCGTATCTCCCATCTACCCCTCATCTACACCAACCAGAGGTGGCAAAAGATCCAGACCATCCTGAAGTACCCGCGTGAGTTAACTGAGTCATCGATGCCGGGATTGGGAAAAAGTCATATGAGTGGGGAGGGACAGGTTTCCATTCTTATGTGTGTCTAGCTTCACTTTTTGCAATTCGGCAAGGCACCAACAAATACCTGGTTAAAACAACATTCTGCATGCTCTCTTGTAATTTTTTTAATGACTAACACACCGCCGTAGGTTGTGTTGTAATGTCTACACGTTTTTGTTGCAAGTCATGATCATATTTCATCAAACAAATGCATTATAGATAAGTAGATTGTGGAATTACGAAGAAGAAATTATTCTCAACTTTTCCCTTACGTTTCGATTTTCGCCACAACCTGGTTTAATAAAAACGATTCAATCGCTTAATCCACCTGCTTTAGAGGTCACACCAAAGGTTAATCTCTGAGTTTTTCATTTGAGATGAATGCCAGGAATCTTTACCGGTCTATGCAACCAGATTGACTAGAATGACTAGATTATCTAATTAACTCCTGCATTTTGAGGCATTTTGACTAGTTGCAACCTCTTTACATTCCTATTCTAGGGATTATTTATTTCTTGAAGCCCATGAACCCACACGCACACACGCTCCTCGCATAAATGGGCTCCTTCAGACCATTCGACGATATCTTGGCCTATAAATTGCGTTTGCCGCGGTAGTCATTGGCTTGGGAAGCCTTTGATACACAGGTTCATTTACATGGGCAAAAGGAAGAGAGACTGAAGGTAGGTGGGGCAACAACTCGGGTTCGAAAACTGAATCGTGTGGGAGAGAAAACTGTGTGGAAGTTAGAGACACGCCTACGCACTTTCCCAGCCAGAGTCGGATACAAGCTCCGGACTAGCGTGCGCAGTACTGAGGGGCGGAAGAGATCCACACCTTTTTCCCCTGATTCTCCCCGTTTTTCCGAATTGCAAGTCGTCTCACCACACCAGGTTTGGAGAAGGATGGAAACAAATCTTTGATCAAAAAGTGGAAATTTGAAGGGGCCTTCTTCCATCTTGTTGAACATTGAACAGAATTTTTACACGAAAACTGATTTCCTCCAAGTAAAGAAAACCACTGTGACTGAATTACCCTAACAGCAGTAAATCTAATTTCTGCTTCTTTGAAAATAGGTCTATTAAAAATGGGGAAGTTTTGTTTATTTTTTCGCCATTAAAGGCGCGCATTCATAAATTTAAGCACTTTCCCCATGTGAGTGATATGCCACATCGTGTCAAAGAGGGGCACAAAAAATATCAGCTGTCCAAGTGTAGTTTCCCCCAGAGTACATTTTAGGCTGAAGGCAAAAAATTTCCCAAAAATAAAAGTTGGTTTTAGTCCAGTCCTTCGAATACTGACATCACTTTTTGCCCACTTTTCAAAGTATAGCTATTTTATTACCGTTTGTTTATGATTTCTAAGGGAAAGAGAAGGAAATACACATGGCTATTCTTTTTTTTAAAAAAAAAACAAGAGATTAAAAAAATTGTTCTCGGGGAGAAATGCGGTCTCGCTTTTTATCTCTAATCAAGGGGATAGTGTAGCCCCCTCGTCCAATCGACAAGCTCAATGGCTCCGGCTAATCCGGTCACCCATGAATGACAGTGATTAGACTGAGAAGTGGGGAAAAATGCTGTATGGGGTGGGTTGGTGGGCGTTTTACCTCTCCTACCACCACCATTTATGTTATTATTATTATTGGTAGCAGTGCATGCTCGTCCCAATTATGAGGCATTAACTAGTGCAGCACCTCACTGACTAAAACGGCAAACTTCTTCAATGCCCGTTGTGGAAAGAGTGCCCCCATTCATCTGGATTCGGTGCAGTCAGAAGAAGTTTCCTATTTCGCGCATTTGAAAACATGCTCTATTAGTTTAGCACCTACTTTACCCGATTCCGAGTTATAAATAAGCTTGGTATTGTAGGGGAAAACCTGTTTTATTTCTGTTTGATTTTCCTGGTAAAACAATTGGGTTAATGCAAATTGTAGACACTTTCATTTCGGTGAATAGTGAAAGAGAGTGTGCATTATTTCCCTGTCATATTTGCCCCATTTACCTACAGAGTGGACCACTCCGTTTTGCCTTTTTCGATGCATTAGAGCAAAGAAAGGTAGCGAGAAGAAGAAGAAGGAGGAGCAAGTCATGCCATTTGCTTCGCGTCCATGGGGAATAGAGGAGAGGTGGTAATGAGGGAGGAAGCCCCATTACCCGCCGCTCTTGTCCACACCCCACCCCTCTTACAGCTTCATTGGTTGCACATCGGGGCTAAGTAGGGGAGGCGAGAGATGTGCTTTTAAGATTAGGGTCTCAAGAGCACTTACTTCACATTCACGAAATCGAGAGCCGTCGAATCGTCCTTGTTGGATTTGGGACATGAATGCGGTGCAGGTGAATGAGACGACCGTGGACCCGAATGAGGTGGAGGTCCGGATAACGCGGTTCACCGTGACTCTTTGTAAGATTAATTGGAAAAGTTTCTTTATGCTTAATGTTAATTTGCAGAAATCGGTTAAATAATACTTTTCTGTAGACACTTAAGTAGAACGGAAAGAGGTTGTGTGAATGCATTAGGCATTGAGATTGAAAGCCATCTGAGGTTGATGCCTCACATGCGTATTTCGATGTCTAGCCAGTCCATGCTCAAGACGGGTGCTCCAAGTAGGATCTCCTGATCGTCAACTCGCTTTCATTTTTATGAAAATTAGTGAGGGCAAACAAGACCGATTTTTTGGTTCTTCACCAAGATTCCAGGGAATATTTTAACTACTGCAACAATACTTCACATCTTGCTTATTAATTATGTGAATTTTCGCCACCTTAAACGTCCCATTCTCGTCACATAGAATAGGTTTCAACCAATATATCATGACAAGCTCATGACAATTTCACGACTTTTAAGAAGTAGTACACGTAACCTTCCAGCGATGGGCTTCAAGTAGGGAGCATTTCCTGATGGCATGGATGCTGCAGCTAGTGTGGCATTTCATAAGCCCTTCAATTAGACCTAGCGAAACTCTCAATTCAAATGCTACAGGCTTAGCTTCCTTGATTTCATACCAAATGTGAGTTGTAGCAGGCAGTGGAGACCTCTTAAATGAGAGTTACTACCGATACTCCAAATCCAGTCCGAGAGGATACACTGTTGGAAGGAGTTGAAATGTGGCGGCGGCAGAACTCGGTATAGTACTTACCTCGTTAACAGTAAACACAGTAAGGTACAACAACCTCCCACGAGTACGTCTGCTGTTTAGGAAGAATGACATATTTGTGATTAGAAATGGGTTTGTACTTCCACAACTTTGACCTAAAGGACAAATGTGACGGTAAGCGCCTGCAATCCTTCTCGCCTATTAAAATTTTATGCTCAAAGTTAACATAATACAACAATACCATCGTTTGCACAATAATCGTTTGACTTATTTGCGAATTTACTGGAAGATTAGTTTTTTTTTCTTTCTAGCTTAAAAGAGAACGCCATAGCCCCTTAAAATTCAAACACCATCAATAGAGTAACCACAGTCCTGCCGTCAAGAGCTGAGCCTGTTTGAAACGTGCAAGACGGCCTGGTTACTAACTGCCTTTATCAGATGTATTTTTGAAGGAGCGCTTAACAAATGGTCTGCAAGACCAAGGATAATGCACGAGAGGACAGTTGTGCACCCAAATTCCACAGCCCAGAAAGACTCTCTCATCCCCTCCTGTATGGCTTGAATGCCAAGTGATTGAAGGCTTTCATAGTTCGCTTTAAGCAAACGTCTGTAAATATGCTGTTAGTGAGATGTTGAGGCATCATCATCATCCTCCTCCTCCTCCTCCTCCTCCTCCTCCTTCCCCTTATACACAACTCTGACCCTTCCTTAGACTGCGAGCGGATGCTGACACACAAGACCTTGTAGACACCGACCACCGGCAAGGAAACAACACACACTAGGGAATCACGGCATTGACAACCTTATTTTTAAATTCCATCCATTCATGATTTTAAGGATGGAATCCGTAATTCTTTTTTGCATTAATCTAGGAGGTGGTATTTTCGACAGCCATCAGCGTTACAAGTGTCTATGCCGATTTCAGGCGAAATAGGTGCTGATAAGGCAAAAAAATGTTGATGACTAGCTTGTAGTAAAGTGTCCCCTTTCTGTTCTTTATTTACACATTAAATACAAGAGCTGATTCAAGAAAGCCATAAATAAAAACAGTGATTTCTCCCCCAGTACGCCATAAACGTCCATAAACACTCATTTATGCTGTCAGTGAACGCTACTACTTAAATGCTACAGATCTGATTCTGCATTAGAATCTTGAAAATTAATACCAAACATAATTCTATTCCTTCTGTTTATCCTTTAAGAAAAATGACCTTTGGAAAGAAGGTAAAAAGGGACTTCCTTTTGTTTCTATAACTAAAATTAGGGGAGAACTTCTTATGCCTTAAAATTTTGCCCTCTGCAAGACGACGATTTTGAACCAGAGTTATAAAAAAAACTCATCCAACGGAGGCGTATTTTACCACAATAATCCACAACCTCAACTATTGTTTCCCACTATTCCATGTGTTCCGCCATGATTGCGCTCTTTGGCGAAGAAGGATCCACAAGCTTCGCCGGCTCCATTGAGCTTTTCAAAGCCACCTCAATATCTCAAATTCACGCGATCCGCATAATTTTGGGCACACAACGTAACAGAAGAGGTTGATCGCAGCTTATTTCACAAATAGCATCAATTTAAAGCAGTTTTCTCGTATTTAGACACACATCTGACACGAGTTTTTAACTGCTGAAATCTGTTTTTCCAGGCTCTTGATAGTAAAGCATGTAATGAAGCTGGAAGAAAAGTCAATCTTTTTGCATAAACCAATCTTATTTTTAACCATGTCTGCATTAGATTTCAAAAAGGCACTTCCATCCTGCGTTTGCCTGTCAAAAATTACTGATCTTTCAGAATGAGCATTGCCTTCAAAAAAGTTTATTATTTTGGGTAAACAAATATGCGTACTTAAAGTTCATCCATCAAAACCCGGATTCCCGGATCATATCACGCGTTTTGTACCACTTCACTTAGCCTTCAACCTGATAAAAGTTTTGCCGTATGCTTGAACGAATGAGATTCGCATTTCACTCACAACTGAGTCGAAGAAATGGTTCATGCGGTCACTTTAACTTGGTAAAAATTAGTTCCACTTATATTCAAACTTCAGATTTTCCACTTAATTTTAATTGACGATTATTAAATTAAACCTTAGCATACAGATTACCGATATAAAAACGGGGGTACAACAATAAGGCGAAGTGAAAACTTCTAAATGTCAAAGCCAACTTCTGGAAATGCGGTGACACAAATGACTGACTACTTATATGATTTCAGCGTCGCCACTGCAGATGCGTTCACTTCACCATCAGGAGAGTTTGAAAGTGCAACAAGGCGAAGAGGTGGTGCTCTCCTGCGTAGTAATGGGTCGACCCGCCCCTCTCATCTCCTGGTATGTTAACAATACCCAGCAACTCGGTCTGTGGAACATGGCCACTGGTCGTGGCGTCATCCACAAAAACAAGTAAGCCATTCCAACATTTCACCTCTGCCCACGAGGCAACAGCTTTATTCACTGCTCCATTTTGCCCACCTTGAGGAAAGTAAAAAATATCTCAAAAACCTGCCTTTTTACATGGCTTAAAAAATGGATTAACATTATTTCCTCGTATTCCCACAGTCCAAATTCACCTTTACCCAATCTAATGGTCACAACCGTGAAATTAAGCCTTATGTTGTAAACCTTAAGGTACATCGTGCGAGACTGAGACCGACTCCCTAAATAATTATCTTTTGTTGATGTGACTGGACCAGAACATGTATTATTTTTTCTCTTCAGATTCTTTATATGCTATACAAAAGCTGTTCTTAGTTGTTTCAAGGGCATTTCACAGTTATGATTTCTAGTCTCAAGGTTTGGATTTGACCCTGATACAACTGATTAAGCTGAATATGCAATTTACTCCATTTTTAGGTGGTTAACGAACTACCTCTTTAAAATGTACAATATATTTTGATACATGTAAGCTGACTTTTTAGCATCAGTAAAAAGGTACAAATAGGAAGACTTTATTGAAGCCTTGGGCTGACTAAACTGTTTGCATTATTTAATCAAAGAAACAATTAAAAGTAATCTAAAAATGTATAATAACAAATAAAATTGGCCCAAAGTGTACGTAAGTTTGAACTTCCTCTAAACAGAACGCCTGCATGATGATTAACCCTAACTCAAATAGAGAAGGACGTACTGTCTAATTAGCCAGCAAATGTCTGAGTTTAGATACACATTTCATTGTTTCTTTACCTTAAACGCCTGGTTTGTGCTTTCAATGCTGCCAGTGGAATGGAAGCTACGTCGCACTGTGCTGTTGAAGGTTGAGGTGTCATTTAAAAACAGAGTCGCTTACTTGATTGAGAAAAAAATTAGCAAAAACTAAGCTCCAATGTAGGATTTTAGAACACCCATTAATTTACCATTTATTGGTCTACTGCAAAAAAACCTTTCGGCATGACAATTGGTATTTTCCGCAGACCGTGATCGGTTACGGGTTGCATTCATTTAATTTATGACCTCCTTAGACTTGGGACAATATTTATGATAAGAAGTTATTTTGTTTATTTTGGCGTTGTCGCGTTTTCAGGCAAGAAACTTTTTAATAGGCCTCGTCTTTAAAAACGCCTAATAGCTAGGGTCATAAATAATTAAATAAGCTCAAAATTCGCATTGCTACGGCACCTCAAGGAGACTGGAATAATAAATACAATTAACTGAGAAAACGGTAGGTCAAGTTGTGTAGCTTGGCTGCTCAATCAGCGGCTCCACAAGCGTTCAAATAGAGTTAGCGATTCGGCCTTGTTTTCACATGCACAATTCTGTCTTGTTGCGTTGCGCAGTAATATCTCCCTCTTCATCTCCAGGTTTTATATTGCCTCCTCTCTTCAGGTGCTTTCAAAATTAACCAATCTCGACAGCACGGGATTGCCAGCGGGTTTGCCGAGTTAAGTATTTGATGTAGCACCCCTGCGTTGTTATTTGTCTTTTCTCTTAAGTTTGGATTCTAAGCATTTCGTATCACTAACCCCTAGGCTGCAAACAATGTTTTGTGCTACCAAAAGTAGGGAACGCAGTTTGGCAGCTTGGCTACCCAGTAGTCTCCCTGATAACCACGAATTGTCACACTAAAGTTTCAAACCTTCTACTCGATTACAAGCTTCCGCGTTACAATTTCCTCCTTTCCGTGTCAAGAATGCAGTACTCTAGCTTCTCGAGGTGGAGGATAACACAATCCTAGAGAAAAAGAGTACCGCTGACATACAAAAGGTCTGGGGCTCCTCGCATGGCGCGAAGGCTAAGCCACTCAGCGGAAGTACAAGAGCGGAGCCTTAAGTACCCAAAACGAAGAGTTAAACAGTCGATTAAATTATTGCAGCACTACTACAAAAAAGAACGACAGACAAGTTTATTTTGACGGTGACTAGTCAGCCAACCACGACTAGGCTTTTCAGACTGACAGCTGTAGCTAATATAGCGTTTACAAGGAACTCTAACTGTTTTAAACCACTTTAACTATTCTTTATGAATAGTTCAACTTAAAAATAAAAAATTAATCTTTGGTGTGATTGTTTTAAGAGACTACTCCTTGTGAAAAATGCGAATAATCTGATATTGGAGGGGGCGGGGGGGGAGTTTCTCGTGTTTAAGTAGAGACATGGTTTAAAATTCGTACACTTTTACAGGGCGCATTTAAATGCAAACGCCTTGCTAAACCGCTGTATTTTTATTAACTCCCACTTAAAACAATTTTTTGACAATTGAAAACGGTTTTTTATTCCTCTCTAATACTAATGGGATTCTGCACTTCTTCACATAGCGAAGGCAGTTGGTTGCCTCCATAATTCCCCTCGTTTAAGTTGCCAATTGCTGTGATTTAATACTACCAGGGAACACTAGAAGGCGCAATATCTATTAAAAGGGGTTTTCCCCACCACAGTAATCAAAGCCTTTTTTGTTCTTTTTTCGCATTTTTTTCTTCTAGACGGAAATCACGTTTGCAAATCTCCAACACCCACCCCATGGACTCGGGAAATTACTCCTGCCTGGCGGAAAATGTTAATGGCTATATCAAAAAGACAGTGGAGATATATGGTAAGGTGATGGTGTCGGCGGCAGGTCCCCACATGTGATCCACCCCAAGCACATCCACAGACAGGGTAGCAGGAGGTAGTCTTGACAAAAAATCAGTCCCTGAAGGGTCAAGGATTGTTGTCTCTTGCCTGCTCAAATTCACCCTAACTTTATTTTACTTTTGTAATAACAAGTCTGCGCTTTTTAAAAGCTTTCTACCTATCCTAGTGCTCGGCAGTAGAATTTTTCCAAAAAAAGAATGAAATACATTTACATTTTGAAACATTCGTGCGCTAGGCGGAAAAAAGTCTTCTACCCACTAAACGACAACGATCACCATACAACATAAAACCCGGGCATTAAAATTCAAAATTTCCCTAATTAATTAACAAAAAAGAAAAGGAGCTGCTTTACTCAGCTCTTTACCTACAAGGAGCGTACAGTAGTGGGATTCCATTTATTTGTCCGACTTCCCGTCTTAAGTGTAGGTGAATGGGTATTGTCAGTGTATTCCTTTCTTGCAGTCGTTCCACGACCACAAACAACGCCACAACCCTGGACAACACTGCCACCTCTCACAGGTAGGCCCCGTAACTCCCCATTATCTGCCAACCCCCCCACAAGTTGTTGTGTGTGCCCACTGTCGGCATAAAACACATTCACTTGTCTAGCTATTTGCGATTTACACACTTAATAGCAAGTTTGGGAAACCCTGTGCTGCAGATTATGCCTTGTTATTTGTTGGGGGAATTCGAAGCTTGTCTTTCATCCACAACCATTAACGTGACCGCCAATGGACACGTGTTCCTCATCAGATCATGACAACCGGTTGCCATAAAATATACGTTCCCATGGATCTTGATTTAGATGAAAAAGCCCTTCTTACATTGGAAAGCATACACTTCCAGGTGTGGGAGAGTGGTCAGTTTCCCCCTAATGGAAGTTGTAGTATGTCTGCTACTCTGTCGGCGTGATTGCCTACTAGAGGATCTAGTCTATATGAAATCTTTTAACCAATTGTTGAAGGCCAATTCTGTGATCTACTCGGCTCATTTGTTATTCTAAGTAATGTGGTTGTAGTTTAGCCTCCCTCCCTTTCTGCATAATGTTTCCTTTTCCCTTGAATTCCCCAGTTCATCCATGCTATCGCTACTGCCTACACGGGTACTGCAACCTCATCGATGGCAGACCGTCATGCAGGTAAGAATCTGCATTGTATTTTCTCATGTGTAATGAATGCTGAAATAGAAAGTTGTCCTTTGCCCACATTTTTTAACCATCAACCTCCTCTGGCTTCAAGATTTGGTTAAATCAGATTAGGCAACAAAAAGTAGGATCGACATAATGGCCGAGAGACCAATCAGCCACATGGAAAAGTCACCCCTCAGTACCGAGAGGGGCTAAGTTGTGCCATGAATGTGTCAGAAGACCATCTACTACCTTCTTCTCATCACAGATGATACTTTCATACCGTGTGAATATGGTTTGGATAGTACTATTTAAATGCCACTGTACCCTAGGTGAACTCAACATCGTGCAGACCTAGGCGGTGGTACAAAGACGTGGACTACCACTACAATTGTCTTGAGGTGTTTGGACACCATTATAAATTGTGAATCAGTTCTAGTATCAAGTTTAAGGCAAATAAAACAAGGGATTCAAAGTATGGAAGCACCTGCTGTACCACCCAAGCCTGAAGGCCTTATGACATTGGTTTGACATTCCTTTCGAAGAAAGAATCCAACTAAATGAAACCAGCTGATGTGCTCTAGTCCCTCGGGTTATCCTAAAGAGCCGAGTTTCTGTTTAGATGCAGACGCGGATATGTGGGTCGACGTTGTGAGGTAACCACCGCTACTGCCAAATGACGCCTGCTTAAGCTAGCACCACAGCAGATCGCATGCTTGCGCATGATACTCCTTTTCAGCTTCTCCTAAGGCGTATTTCCCAAAAAGAATGCTTATTTATGGACTTTCTTCTTCTCCTATAGCTGTATCTCCCAGTATTATGGAACAAGATGTGAGTTCAACGAGAAGGCACCAGAGGAAACGAAAGCCATTCAATCTGAATGCTCAACTGGTGCGTTTGTGTGCCAACAGTTCTAATAGTACCTTCCAGTAGCTGGACACTAACTGACCTTCGTGTTTATCCACAGGCTGTGATAATTTTATTGGGCGTCTCGTACTATTTTCTACTCTTGGGGCTCTCTTCACACTCCTCCTGCTTGTAGTCATTTGTTTGTTTGTAAAAAGAAAAACGTGAGTTGCTTTTACTACTGCTTATGCTACTTTATCTTGAAAATCGGTGCTTCTTAAGGACTTGACTTGGTTGAGCTAGAAAGCCAATAATAAGTTAGTCGGGGAAATGCATTATTGTATGTTTATCCAAATACACCTTCCATTTTAGGCAATCAAGCTCCTCAAGAAACTCATTAAGAGTCGGTGAAACTCCGGTAACTATTAATAAATAATTCTATTTTTTTATTTTTGAGTACTTTATAACCCATCACTACAATATCATGATGATGATATAGATGGAACAGAGGGTCAAGTACTGAGTGGCACTGCAAGTTATTGTATTCTTCCAAACGGAAGTTTAAAGTGGCGCCTAAAAAAGGGTGTTTTGTAGCTCCAGATAGACCCAGCAGTTATACGTAAGTATGCACGAATGCTAGAAATCCAATGATAGGTAAAGCATCTTCAAATTACGAGTAGCAGTTCTTAGGTTCGGTAATAAAACAGGAAGAGAGAAGTGATTTTTTAAAAGACCGTCAGCATCAACAGATCTCAATTGGAGTCACATTATCTTCTACAGAAATCGTGCCTAGGAAGTAAAGAGAGCGATGCAAGAGAACGGAAGTAAAATGGAACAGTTCCTAAGCCTAGACCGATGCCCCGCCTCAAACCGGCAAATCCCATCACAAAAATCGGAGGAAAATTGCATTGTTACTAACAGTACATAAGTAGTAATGCAACTTCTACTATTTATGACCGACTAGTGTTAGACAGAAACGAGTCTAAAGTAACTTGAATGAATGTAGCTTCTGGTTGGCGCCTTTATCTCGAAAAACATGTTGGTTTTACAGCCAGAAGATATATCACACTGACCCCTAACCAGTGAAGTCAAAACCTGGCCATGTGGGGAAACGAGCAATGAGGAGATACTTTGCACACACGTTTCAGGCGATATTTTTTCAAAGCGTCCCTAGAAAAGTTATTTTGAGTCTCTTAAAATCTTTACTAAAACAAACTAAACTTGTCTAAAAGCGTTTCTACGACATCCATGGATTTGATCAGTACGCCTTTGACTTCTCGAAGGCAAGTTTGATATACATTCGTGTAAATGTTTCCAAACATCGCGAAGATGAAATTAAAAGTTCTGATAAGTACATATAAAAAGGATTAAATTGTGCAAGGTTAGAAAAGTGCAGCTAACGACTTGCGGAACACCAGTTGCTTAATTTCCAATCTTGTCGTATAGTAGACCATTTGGAAATTTCACTGCGTTCAAGCAATTCCTGCGTACAAATATTAAAATTGGGCCGTTTTTCCCCTTTTCACGTTTTTTTGATTATCTGCTGTAATAAAACCGTTCTTTTATCTTACAAAGCGCATTATAAAAATTCCCGCAGTAACTTCTCGTTTTGGCTGATTAAAAAATACCTCTGTTAACAAACACATGTAAAACAAAAATGTAGTCTGGCTTATACAGACTATAAAACCTTGTTATTTGACGGGTTGTCGTTTTATATGATGATCGCCAGTTCATTCATCCTTTGCAGAGTCCAAGTTGAGATTAAGTCAAGCTATTTTTCCGTTTTACTCACAATTTCTAAATACGGTTTCTAAACCCCCTTTGCTTGTGTTTTGCCTTACCACGCAAATTCCTTTTGTTCGAGGAATTGAGCGTTCGTTACGCATCAACAATCACAGGTGACGATTCTGGCATGATTTCGTGCTACTTAATATTTGTAAGTACTATACTGGGGTTATCTTGCGCAGCATAATGCAAACCACGCAAGATTAATCATGAAACTATCAGATTACCATCTCCAAAATTAAAAAACATGCTCAAGAGCAAGATTGACGCGCAAAAAGTCATTTTTTGTTTTGCAGACTCAATCACCAATTCCGATGAATTTTCTCGATCCGTCAGATCGACGTCCCGAGAGCCTCTCTCGTGTCTGCACGCCTCTAGGCCACCCACACTCCCACTTCGACTCACTTACGGCACTTCCGTGGAAAGGGGATACCAACTGCGCCAATGTTACAACCATTGTTTCCGCTCCCACCGCCGATGACAACCCTTACCTTCTGACTTCTGCCCTGCCTCTCTCCACCAGCACTGAGGAGGAGAGCAGACATCTACCTCAGTTGACTTCCTGACGTCTCTGCCTGTCCTTCCTTCTTCCCCCTCTCCATGTCTCTCTCTCTTTCTCTCTCTCTCCCTTCCCGTCTGTTAGTCTTGCATGTTGTCAGCATGTTGTGTACCCTCCGTAACGCCTTCTCCCACCACTTTGCCGTCGTGTGTGTGTACGTATGATTGTTCACTCCACCCAAGCATTCCACACTTAAGAAAGAAGCTCCCTACTTCCACAATCCCTTATTTGCACGCACATATTAGAGGACAGGTAGACAGATACCCCTGTACTCTTCGATTTCGCTCCGTGCGCCTTCCGTCTATTTCACCAAGTCTCATTTTAACGAAAATACAGTTGGGTGAAAAATTATTCGTCATCGTTGTTGTATTTGGACTGTGTGATGCATTGAGACACTCTTAAAAGTGCAGCACTTATATGAATGAGCACCATTGCACTCGACTGTCGATGCAAAGTAGGCGAAATCGTCAATCACCTCCATTGTCACATGTGTGTGACACTATTGTTTCACCTGACCCTGTGAAAATATTACGTTGATTTATCAGCTTATGACAACTCGTGGTAGTAACAAATCTACTTTTGCATACTATTGAACAGACCGGAGTACAATTGCATCTTACATTTCTCTTAAAGGCGAGCAGAACCCTATTAAGTGGCGTTTGCGGTGGTCGATTTGCCTCTGAGCTCTCGGTAGTGAACCGGGGAGGGTTGTGAATATTTAATTTGTAGCTGTTATCGAAATGCTTCCCTCAAAATTTGCATTCTCTTGAGTTAGGAAGTATGAATGTGACAATTGATGACTTCCACTAATTGGCGCCGCTAACTCAGTGTATTGACCGTCTGAAGATGTTTTGAGGGTTGATGAGTCTCCAATTTGTCACTACGGTTAAGGATCCAGTAAAGTAGACCTGATTTCACTTTTTCTGGTTTATTAATTCAAAAGATAGCGTTGGTAGTTAAACACTCTGGGTTGTTTGCATAAATCTTTGTTTTGGTTTTGCGGGCACCCAAAGTTCCGCTTTTGGTGCTTTCGCTGAACGATGTGACCTATGGACCGTTCTACCAGCCTCCAGCGCCTCTGTAATTTGGCAATACACTTTCACTTTCACTTTTCACTTTCACTTTCAGCCCTGGCCGTAGATCTCCCAGCTTTCCCACTTATCTCACACCAAAATATATTCTTGTGCAAATCCCTTTGAATTCCCATACTTGGGCTACCTTCCAGCTTGTGCCAATTTCTAGCTGGGATACTGCAAACGCAAGGAGAATCATTTTTTAGCAAGCCATGTGATTTATTTATTTTCAGCCCTCCTAGTCATGGCTTTTTGCAAGTAAAAAGCGCTGCCTCTGCACAGTTCGATTTAAACAAATTCAGGGCGCTCTTCAATAAAGAATTTCCACGTTATTTCGTCCTTACAGAGTTAAGATTGGCCTCATTTTACCCATTTAAATTGACTGTTAATCCTTTTCCCTATTTTTTTAATTGCGTACAAGTACATTGATGCCTCTTCAACAGATCATACAGGCTGGACGTGTGGTGGGCGCGTTGTTTTCTCCTCCACTTAAGCCTTCGTACTTTGTGGAATGAGGAGAGAAGTTGGACGGGGACATGCTTCAGAGGGTAATGACAAGTGAAGGGGTACAGAGGTGTCACGGTTTTGGCGCGTTCAGGGCGCATCTCTTCCCCCTTGGGGGAGGCCGATGGCGTTGGATACGCTGGGAGGTTCGTACTTTCCTGTCCGCCGTCAAATGAAGTATGCAACCAGTTCAAGAGTCGTTAATTTAAGAAGTCCAACAAAGGGCTAATTCAAAGAAATTCGCTGCGTTTTTTGATGAATTTGTTGAAAATCTAAGAACTCTTAAAGTCTCACTTATTTAATCCTTAAGAGTCTCATGTAGACCATCACCATTGCAGTTTGTGACTCAGTTTGGTAGGCTAATAAAAATGCATCTGTCATACTGATAACGTAATTTTAAACAATAATATCATTTCGAAAATGCATAAACATTCGATTCTTGTGGTTTTAAAAAAACAACAAACGGCTTTTTATTCTAATAAACATCCATGGATGTCCCATGAACCTTGGCAGCGCCTTGAGAACCTCCTAAATCCGAATGAAGAAATAACACCCGCGAAGAATATGAATCGCCGATGCACAGAAGGGTTGAGGGGCTACTGGCATGTCCCAGATGCCATGCCGTTGGGAGGAAGTACAATTGCGGAATCGTAAGTGTCTCCAAAAGCAAAAAACCGAGTTAAATAAATAATAATAGAATCACATCGCTACTTTCCTTATGAACGCCGTCCCTTGCGCTCTTCTTGGCTGACCTTTCGTGTCGGTCACCACAACGCAGTTGGTACTGGAAGGAAACCGCTCACGATTCAGCCTTGACAGTCATCCAGTTTACGTGCAATTGAGAAGATGCTTGGTCGCAGCGTCACTGATCCCTCCTGGTGGTTGCACTGAATCTGTAGTTTTGTCCATTTGTCGGAACTGTATTGTGGGGATGAATGGAATGTGCTGCCCATCCTGTAAGAATACTAGCTTGTGAAAGTCGAGTCATTTTATTGAAGGTGAGGTTTAAAATAGTTTTGTAGGAATAAAGTTTAGTGTCCGTTCATCCTTGCCATTATGTTTCCATTTCAGTGCTGCTTAGCTATATCTGCCTGTCTAGGTTCTATCCAACCATTAGAGGAGTAGAGGAGGTATCGTGTGTTCACTCAGTTGACAGGTACCGTAGAGAGTTTCACAACGAACTTTTCTAGATGATTCAAGGCTAGTGTCTCTTCACTTTTAATAGCATTCCTACAGAACATGTAACCTTCTTCCGATGCGCTAAGATTTAGCAATCAGCAAAAGCACTCGAGGAAGTTGTCCTCTAGAATCGGGTTCGCTTTCCACCACCACCAGAGTTGCACCCCACGACTTCTCTAAGAGTGAAAGAAAACATAATGCTTGAATAGAATACGCATTGTCGACCCACAAAATGGTTGGTTTTGAGGCTACTGGCATAATTCGGCGGCCTGGCGCAATGGCAAAGCCCCCAAGTGACCATTTTACTAAAACACAGAGTTTAACAAACATTAGAAGCTTTACACTACCTTCATACATACAAAATATTCCCCAAAACTTCATAATATCTAACAAGGGTGTAGCATTTCACCGATTGTTGTCGCATCAAAATGCATTTTGTGCAATGTTGTGGTCGGGGAAAGGATCAACACGTAGGACAGGGCCTCTTGGGCTACACAACATTTAAAGAATAGTCGAAGTAGACCAGTAACACAACACTCCACCCCATTCAAGCTGCCACACATTGTTAAAATTTACACAAGAACCACCCTTTCTTTCCTTATTCGAGAGGCATTTGTTCCCTACTGAAATGGATGTGTCAGAACAAAGGGGTGTTCATTGAAGGCAGATTTAAAAAAGCAAATGTGACAGTCATTCTACCAACAAGTTGCTGCAGAAATTTACAACATAAATAAGAAAAATGGATTGTCAACGCTCCAGGTGGTGGTGCATGTGACTTACCTAAGCCTTTAAAATTACTTACCTTCACTTACAGAACATTACATTTCACCAAATGAAAGAAACAACCACGTATTTGCAACAAAAAGGAGATTCTTAATATATTTTTGATGATGGCTTTTCCTTATTGTCAAAAGAATGGACATGAATGGACTTGGATTGGAAGTTCCTGAAGAATACGCAGTAGTTGTGGAATCCCGAGGCTTCCAGAAGGCCTGGGGAGGGGGGAAGCACTGACATGGTCCAGCAGCCACTCCGCCAAGCGGAGGAACAATCTGTTAGACAAGCTATTTTAAAAAAAACCGATGCATTCCCCATCTACTTCAGGTTTAAATGAAAAATTTTGCTGGTTTCGGGGCGCATTTACTATTGCAAGGTGCCTTGAGAGGGTACTGCTACGGAGAGTGAATTAATTCCTTCCACTATTGCTTACTTTGACTTCAGCAGAGGCAAGTGCTTTTCCGTTTGGTGCAAATTTACAAACAGTTGTTTCACTTTCTCACAACCGATATTCGCACCGTAAATGGGGCCATAAAACACCGAACCGCCTTGGGGTAGGTGAAGTTTTCTGTTCGCTCTAGACTGCATATAGTGCTGGAAGACCTTTTTCTCAATTTCTTACTCAACAAATCACCAGTTGGAACGAGAATAATGAAGTGGTCACTTCATAAGGCTCTAAGCGATGCCCTGCTGTGGAGGTTAAATTTAGCCTAACTTCCGACCTGAGAGACCCTAGATTACCACGTCAGGCACCAGTTTCAGGGGAAGGCCGTACATCGCAGACCTGGCATTGTGGTGTTGCAAAAAGCCTCCGACAGTTTTGGTTTTTCTTTCCAAGCTAATTTAATAAAACTTTTACATACTTGTGGCATGTGTACCCAGTCAAGAAAGTTCCAGCGTCACATATACGTGACGTTGGTTAACACGCTGATAAAATTAGTTCGGCTATGAGGCAAAGAGAGAACTTTGAGTGCTATATTGTAGAAAATGATTAACGCTGAGCTATGATGGGATGATAGGAAATATGGTGTCCATGAGGGAAATCCTGACTAATTGTGCTTGAAACAGTTTCCACAGGAATGACCAATTATACTGTAGGTTATTAAAGGGTTGAAGTAGATTTTACTTTATCTAATTTTGCTACTCACAACGAGAAGCAAGGTAATGTTTGAGCGATTAAATTACCATCTGGATTAGTGCAGGAGAAGATGTCAAGCTGTGGAATAGTTTTGCCCCATTCATTATTCTCATCCTGCACGAAGACGACACAAGAATTTCCTGTCTCACCTTAACCCATTTATCCAAAAGTAAGGTTTTGCAGGAGAGATTTTTCAGTGGCATAACTAGCTATTCCCTTCTGAAGGTCTGTGCCGCGTTATTTCAAACTGTAAAAGGTTTACATTAAAGCGTTTAAAATGAAGGGTGGATTACATGCCTGGATACAAAATAACGAAAATGAATAGGAAATTTTGTCATCCTATACAGCCACTTTTTTATAAAATTAGCCTTAATTATGATGAAAAACTAGTCTTTTAGTCTTCCTTTTAAATAACATTCGTATACTTGTACTTATAGACCCACTACCATCGTCGCATATACGTGACGTATTGCTTTACTTCCCTGATCGGAAGTGTTAGATGTTTCTTCTCTGAAAGTTATTTCATATTTTGCTTATAGAATGTATTTAGCAGGTTTTGTAGAAGATTCCTTGCAATAGGTGCTATATTAGAACAACATTCCATACCTGAGTAGTGGATGTCACTAGTCTACTAAAGTTTTGGCAATGAAAGCGTTGTCTTGACAAGACTACACTAAAAATTTATAATCCCAAATTCATTGCACACCTTGGCGACGCACCAAGGCACATCGCCACACCCCTTTTCATGTCTGTACAAGACCGTGTGTTGCATGTGTTCACCCATTCCTTCTTCCCCTTTTCTTTGTTTGGGAGGCATGCGCACCCCTTATCTGAACCAACATTTTCAATCATGCCATTTTACGGGTTAAGAAGTTGGCCGCAAACCAGGAGAGGCATTCTATTCTAACCCCTCAAAAGACAAAATTATAAATACCACCCCTGCTGCATCTTCTACATTTAGATTGGGAATGGGGAATGAGCGCACAGAATATTTGCGGTAAGATTAACCATTTATGGACAAACCTGCATTAAAAGTTGAAGACCCCAGAGCCGCTTTTTGCCAAGAGCAAAAGGAATTTTGAATCAGCCATGCTAAAGCCTTCCATGATATTAGTTCCCTGTGAAAATACATTCCCCATGCGGTTGCAAGAAGTAATTTTTCCTGTCATTGCGCACAGCATACTGGTGGAATTTCTTGATAAATGGAGATTAAAGTGACCTCATGGAAATCCATATTATTAAAAAGGTTCCAAATGATTTTTCAGAGGTTTCTTAACAAACGTCAACTACTATTTATTTTTTCATATCATTAAAATGCGCGGTCATCAAGGTGACCAAATAGGCTTATAAGATTTCTATATAAAATAAAATAATCACAAGAAGCTTCTCCAAACACCTTGTTTGCTGAAACAGTCAAAATGTGATATGGGAAGGTCCCTCTCAACAGGACAAAAGCATGCTAGGAATCACACATTTGGGAGATCTTGTGCCCCTAAAAAGCAGATACATGGCCCTCCTGCCAGTCTAGTTGTAATCAATCATCATAAATAATAACTGATCCCCCTAAACGTGATGTATATTGGTGTTATTTATCATTGGAATCATGTTATCGTTACTAAAATGGCTAGATATCAAAAGAGTTGCAGTTCTGTTCCTACAGTTTCGAATCTAAAGACATTTGCCAGCCTTAAATATCATTCGTTTTTTCCTTAACACAGGAGCAAGTAAAATTGGTTTGACATGGCCAAAAAGAATTTAATTTTAATTTAAGTATAAATTGCGAAAATTATTTCACTGAGAGTTTGAAAGATGATTAAAGCCTTCGCCCAGGAATATTTCTCTAGGGCTTTCGTAGGACTGTCAAGCCTTACTTCAAATTTTTTTTTGAAAAATCGACCAGATTTACTTAATTACACCTGCCTGCCACATTTTGATCAAATAAGGAGTAAATTTACTTATTGGGTTTAAATTAGCTACTTTGACCTTAAAAATTCGAAGTCGCTATTCGCTCGACGGCTTTCAAAATGTGAATGGTTTGAACGCACTAGCTATCTTGTGGTTCGTTAAGCAGGGCTCCTCAAGAGCGTTTTGAGCGCTGTTTCCACAAAATCCTTCAGGATTTTCACGTGCGTGCTTTTAAATGATCATAATGATTTCATTTTCTTGGGCATTACTTGTAAATAATCAGTTTCGTGGGGGTGTGAATCTTAGTATGATTTCCTCCTCTGACCCTCTACTAAGTAGAGGAGTAACGAGTTGTGATGTGCATTCTTTTTGTTAACAGCATTAAAATTTCAAAAGCCGTGCAGCCCTAAAACACCAAATAGCTTAAGTAGAAAGTTTAAAATCAGAGGGTAACCGAGAAAAAGAGGGTACAATAAAAACCTCAGTTACTAAAGTTACGTGTTGAAAGTAAATTTAACTTATAAGTTGTTTTTCCGGAAGTTAACTCTTTTAATTCTTTTGTCTACAGCTGCTCCTGCTGGATGAAGCTAACTAAAACAACACAAGCAAATATCTCAAAAGGCGGTTATTTAACAAGAAATGGATGCAGTCTCCGTTGGCTATCACTCGTCACAGCATTTTATAACTTTCGATGATTCTAGACAGAATGACTACGCTAAAGGAAAATATTCGAACATTTATGACCAGTTATCAATGTGCTTTCGCCTATGCTGAAGAATTGAGCCCGAAATTACCAAGTATTCCTTTGGCACAACCATGTAGACGCTGAAGAACAGAAATAAAGGAAGGAAATATTGTCATAGAGGCAAATATTTGTAGTAGGGTAAATGAATCCTTTGACTAGTGCTTTACGATAGGTTGGCATTTTCAAAGGCTGGCTGTCACTTACAACGCTGCAAATCAGACACAGATGGCTGTTTTTCTGCTCAACACACATGGGCAAACTATTGGGTTCTGGAAATCCTAACCAACATGAAAAACCAGTTAAGCAGAAGTTTTTTGATTTCGTCAAGTTAGTTTTGTCCATGTTTAAATACTTTGGTAGTTTCAAGCGTCTACATCCACCTACCATAAAGTCTTTGTCGAAATTCAGCGGAATGCGGAAATGGCCATGTCCAATAGCATGTCGCAAGAGGAATGTGCCTCTTCGCTCGTCCCACACACATTTTGACATTATTTGCTTTTAATGGGAGCAGGGTGGATGTAGGAATTATCAACACCGAAGGAGCTCGGCTTATTTGTCCCTTAGGTGTGGAAGATACATAATTACTTGCACGCAGCATTTCCTGATCTGAAATAGCACCAACACTTAACAGAGGTCGCGGCATTCCCATAGAGTATTTATTGGGATGAATCCCAATGTCCCACAGCCTCAGTTAGGCGAGAAAATAATCAAAAGCTTTGCTTAAAGTTGCTATCGTGGGTTATTTCTTCCAGTTATAGCGTACACTATCTCAAACCAAATGTGATTTTCATAAGCTAGAAAGTTTTAGTAAAGTACGAAGACCTTAAAGGGCCCCATTCGCATGGAACTGATGCCATAAAACAAGGTTAACCGCGTGACATAGCGCCGTCCGGTTCATTGATGCAGTTCAATAGGTACTTAGTTTAAATGAGTGTTTAAAGTTTCTGGAGCCGTAGCAAATTATATTTTCTTCAGGGAAAAGTAGTAAGGACTTTTCCGTCAGTTTGGGAATAGAACAATTTATTTGCGATGACGATGGTAAAGATGGACGGAGGCCATGCACTGCAATTTATTAGAATCGACAGAAATAAAATCGGGTGAACAGAACGATGGCGCTATTATTTCAGTAGAACGGCAATTAAAAAGCATTGGTTGAAGAAAGTAATCTTAATGCATAAAAGCGTAAAAAAATCCAGAAATTTTGGGGGCTTTCCGTAATCTCTGTGAAACTTGGCGCCTACAATTCTTCTTTTGCAGTTGGAACTCCATCAAATTCCATTTATCTGGAAGATCTAATTATAGCTTCCTTCCATGACCCAAGTTCAAAGATCAACACTTCCAAGTTTAACATAATGTTACTTTTGTTACTTCATTTTATGCTGTAAAAAGTCTTTTGTCTTTAAGAAATTGACGGGTAATTTTATTACACTAACATTGTCCGCGGTTTTGATGCCGTTGAATAGTCATTGCTTAACGTGATTTTGAAAGATTCCAGGCAAAATTACGATACGATTTCTAGTCAAGCTTAATTATGACTATAAAATCCAGTAACAACTGACATATTTAGTGGTAGCCAGCAGCAACTTATGCTTAAAATGTGTTGAGTAGTTGAGTGCTCGCCCTTGAGAAGGTTATCACTAAATTCGAATAATCTTACCATTAAATGATGCAGTAAGTAGAGCTGAATTAACCAAAAATTAACGCTGGAATTGGAATCGAATCTATTTTAAAACGTGGTAATTAATTAAGTGGGTCTTTGGAACTCCCCGCACTTTTCTAATAAGCACACAAACTTTACAAAATCATAATACCATATTTTGTGCGTTTATCGATTGATGGGTAAAGGGTCGCCTCTACCCACCTTGCAGAAGAAAACAAAGCAGTAGCAGTGTCAAATTTCTACTTAAATAAACACGAAGCTAGATAAATATTTGGTTATTCGTTTGGTAATTTGCCACTGGTGTGGTGCATACGAATGCGCACCGGTCTAGGCTATCCACAAGAACAAAAAGTGTTTTTCTGGGTGCAAAAATAACTGAGCCAGAACTGGGCGGTGCAAAGCAGACAAACATTTCACTTATACATCACCCCGGCTTGTTGGCCTTGTCTCGGTGGTGGAGCGGCCCTCCTTGCGTGCACTTCGCAGTAGAGCATGCTGTTTATGTAAAAGTAGCCCACATTACGCAGGTTGATTCCACACTGTGAACACTTCAAACACTCCGGATGCATAGGGATCGAACCGTGAACTTTGACCATAACTCCAGCAATGGGACCTCCACAGGCATCGCAAATGAGCCTTGGCGCTGCGTTAACGGGTGCTGAAGCCCCAGTAGCTGAAAGAGCATTCTCAAAAGACGCTGAGGCGTTGCGTTGAGAGTAGAGTCCCATGGGTGAGTTGTATTCGGAGTGAAGGATACGATGAGTTCTGCCCTCTGCGTTGCGGGTTATCACCGAATGTCCAGGCAAAGGTGCCTGCCCAAACGGCACTGGATTCACGTTATGCGAAGCTCCGATCGGTGGTGAATAAGGTGCTGCAAAAGCACTTTTCAAATTTGCCTGTCCATTGTCCATAACCCCACGGATGACTGACTCCTCCACACGCGCTGACATGGGCTGGATGGTGGTTGAAGTGGTGGTGGTTTTAAGAGGTGTAATAGTTCCTCCACGCTGAACCAGAATCACAAAGTCATTGCTCGAACGGATGATCTCCATCTTAGCCTGTTCATGAGTAAGACCTCGCATATCAGTTCGGTTGATGCGGAGGACATAGTCTCCACCACGAAGACCGCAGCGCTCGGCTACCCCACCGCGTGCGACGCTTCTGATAATCAGCGGTAGGCCTACGTCCACTCCGCCCTCCAGACGGAAGCCCCAAGGCACAGAGCTGTCCTCGCGGACAAGCTTCATCGTCAACAGTTGACTAGCCATCGGATCTGATGGCCACTTCGTAGGTAAATGAACTTGGCACTTTCCGTGGGATGTGGCAGCGCAAGCGGCATATGTGTGTGTGTACGTGCGTGCCTTAAGAGCCAATGAAAGCGGGCCAGTGGGTTGGTCGATACTTTACCATCACTCTCAGTCAAGTGGAACAATCGGGGATTCGGGTGAGACTTCTTTTATGCCTCCGGGATAACTAGTTTCCAACAAATAAACAAGCACTTATCTGTTTACTGGCAGCAACACTCGCAAACGGTTCACGTCCACAAGTGATAAGTTCAAAATAGCAATAATTTCACATTCCCTAAATTACTTATCATGAAAATCGGAACTTAGTTAAAGTAATCATTTCAAACAAATGAACTCCCGATTTTTAGGAAAATTGCAGTTTAGGGCGTTAAAATGAATTTCTTTTGTATTATGCCAAATGGAGTTGCTCTTCCGGCCCAACTATCTGCCATGACTCATGCATGCTGACTGAGCACGGGCCGTGGACGAGGCTCAGGACAGCCGAAAAGTCAAACACGGTCAAAAACTCAATAATATTAGCATCAATGGCTGACCATGGCTGGCATTGCCATGCGGTTTATCAATCCACTCAGACATAGGCAAGCACGTTTTATCCTCCACATCTAAATATGAGCTAAAGGCTTTTCAAGCACCTTCGACATGCCAAACAGTGTCAATTCGGTTGACTTGGCCTATATTTGTTGAAAATCTCAAATATTCTTGGATTAGAGTAGGGTCAGGACCAAGTGTCATAAAGTATGCAAAAGGCGAACACAATTGATATATTATAAAATTTAATTTAGAGTCAAAAATTTTGCCTTCCCTCAAAACGAACATTTGCAAAACTTCAGACTTTGCAGTCAGTGCCTAAAAATTAGTTGTTTAATGTGTGTATTATGAAAAAAAATCAGATTTGTTTTATTTGAATAGAATTTTTTATATCTGATCATATTTGTGGTTTCAGGACTAAAATTGTTAGCTTTGTTTTGCCAGGCTATTTTTTGGCATTTAATAAATAATGGCGGCTTCAAAACTATCGAGGCAACTCACGGAATTTTTTATAGTAAATAATGCAAGGAAAAGAAAAAATAGAGCTATGTGGATTACAAGCGGCTTATTTTGCGTGCCCAAAATGAAGACGTGACTTGTGCTACACTTGAAATATCTGCTGGTTCCTTTTAGTTTGATGCCACCTTAGCCTGGAATGACAAAAAACTGTTCAGACACAGCGATCGATGTTGCGGAGAATAATCCTCACAGACTATTAATGAAAAACAGTTTGTGAACCGTCTTGAGAGGTGAGGCAATAGCCTACCTCCTTTTTTTTACTGACTACAGAGGGATGTCTAGCGGCATCGCCAGTTCCATTTTGGGTTGCACTTTCCTTACCATCACCAGGGCCATCCCCTGAGGAACAGTTGTGCAGCATAAATTAAAGCGTCGACATACGGGTTCCACTTCCCACGGATTGTCCAGTTGCATTGCCTTGCGATTTAACCCCGGCATAATGAAGTAATTTATGGCACGAATATGAAAAAAAGACATTTTTTGGTTAAATTCGCTTATTAAAATGTCAAATGTTAGCCTGATACCGTGTGAGTGAAATAATTATTCTTTGCTAATGGGGTGAGGATATCTAGTTCTTAGTTATTAAAGATATTTCCAAAAAGACATTGCTAAAATATGGCACTACTAGTTTTCCTTGCTTTGATTGCTATCAGCCCACACTGCCGAATAAATGCTGATTGCAGCGGTTTAATCATATCGAGATCGTGCTTTTTTCTCATTTGCCTCAATATTCTCCATTCTCTTCTTTCCTATGTTGAAAAAACGAATAGGTCAACAGTCTCGGCCCAGTATTGCCCGTAAAACAAGCCAATGGCTCTAGTGTAAGTGATTTTTATTGGGAGAAAAATACCTGTTAATCAAGTTTCCGTAAGTGATTAGTATGTCTCAAGTTGCTTTCAAATTCTCATCGAAGTAAACTCATATATGTGAAGGCGGCTTTTGCAATGTTGATGGCTTTATACACTGCCGGAACGTATTTCATGCAATTTACAGGCTAAGGTATGATAAAAACCACCTTGCCGGTTATTTAAGCGCAGTTGGGGAGAGTATACAAAATTTATGCCTTCATAACTTTCAGTTTGGTTCGAATAAGCAATCAAAAGACGAAACACAGCCTTCAGTAAACAGTGGCCTCTTGTAAGAGGCATAATACGAATGATGATAGGAATGTTGTTGGATTTCAAAGTCGACCGAAGCTACACTAAACGTAGGTATTGGTTTCTGCTTTTAGAGGACTGTTTTTGTTTTTTATTCACAGAACAAGGGCTATATCCGAAGACTTAATAGTTTGTGACTAACGGGGTAATAGGCTACGCAATTAATTATATTTAATATCCTTTACACACCTTGCCCTTTTTGAAACGCTCTTCTCAAACCTCTTGGTGGCAAATCTTTCTCTTCGATTATTACAAGGTGCCCTCAAGAGAGAAATGAGGAGAAAATAGAGATTTCCGATTACGAGTGGGTGTCAGCTTTCATTAACGGAGATTTATTTTGTAGGCTTTGACAGGCCTACTTGTCACCTTTTTTGAATTGTACTTCATGCATTTGTCCACCTTGCAGCGTTGAAGATGGACCCATTTTCCGCAGTGAGGAGAGTACACATGTCAATCACTATTCTTAAGAAAACTGGCTTAACAAGAAGACAAATTAAAAATTACAAAAAATAAAATAACTTTGGAGTCTTGTTTGACAGATTCATGTCCTTTTAAAAATCTCACAGATTTGCAGCAAAATGACAAGGCGCAGGTAGCCAAGGGAAGGGCATTTCCTAATGCCGGCTGATATCTGGTGTCGACCTACTGTGACCGTACAAATACGGCATTTTTTACTATTCCTGTCGTTATTTAACTCCTCATCTCAGCTTCGCCGATGCTTGAGACTTCAATTTTGCACATTCACTCAACAATACATTTAATTACCTAGTAGTATGACTTCTTTCATTTGCAGGAAAAAACTGTGGGGACTACAATTTTACTCTTAAAACGCGAAAAGTAGGAAAGTATTTGATACAACCTTTATCAGTGCACAAAAAATAATTTAGGGTGAAGTGCAGTCGGACATCTTAAGAAGAAGCTAAATTTATTTGGGACAAATGAATATTATTAAACATGATCTAAAAAAGAGTGATAATAGTTGGGAATTGAGAACAGACAATTCCATAAATGGTGTAATTAGATAGATCTGTCATTTCACTTTAGTCCAATAAACAATAAGGACAGTAAACGCTTTTTCTGTTTGCAGAGTAATTTTTTACTTTTGAAGGCAGAACACTCGGTGCCGGCAGAGAACAAGATGCTATTTTCAAATGCAGTTTCTACTTGAATACAAAAGTAGAATAATTTATACACTAAGTTATACCGTGAATGAACAAATGTGAATTAAAGTTGAAAAGCTATTCATGCATTTGCCTAAATATCTTATTAAATCGCGGCTATTGTGCGAAAAGTACAGTTGTCAGGTAATTTACAAATCAATCAAAAAATGACAATTTACCCACTTATGCTACTGAAAGCATACTTCTGATGGATTTTGAAAATAAATTTCCTGTACAACTTTCTGCTCCTATTTAACCTCAAAATTTCTTATCCGCTCAAAAGATTCATACATACAACCAGCGTTTGAATACTCCAATTCCCTACTTGAGCACCTGCATCCAAGGCCATCGTCCAAATGCAATCTTTCATTTCGTACACATAGCCTTGAAAAATGAAAGCGGTTGATGGCAGAAATGCGACTCATAAATATCAAAATAACATCCTTTTTTCTTCACAAAATGTGAGCACTTTCGTATTACTCATTCCTATCGCATTTGTGTTTTCTCTAATTATATAGAATAGTGCTTGCGTTGGCGAAGAATTCCACCCTAAAGTGCCGCAGGAAATCCATGATTTGGATGATTAATCATCGAACATTCGTTAGTACATTTAATTGGGGGGTGTGTACAAGCATACCCTCTGCGTATTTGTTATAAGGTATTTCTTATTCAAAGTCGAGTTTTGGTATAGTTAACAAAACATGCTCTATTTTTGGATGAATAACTTGTCTTTAAAGTTTGTGCAATTAATACAACTAGTATTTCATCTAAATATTAACCCACAATAATGACAGGTTTTAAATATATCATTGTTCCTTCCAAATGTTGTCATTTAGTCACATTTGCCTACTAAACATCACATCGTGGGTACGACCTGCAACCTCATGGCCCTGATTTATGGCAAACTAAATTATTGCCGTGGGAATTATACAGCTTCTCCAAAGCGCCTCGTCTCAATAAAATTAAACGGGGTAGCCAACCAAACCTCTTTTCCACTTGTCGTAGATTTTGGAAAATACTTTGCACAAAAGTGTACGTGGGTTTGTACGCGACACGTATTCTTTCTCAACAAAAATCCATCGAATTGTCATGCTTCAAATTGTTAAAAATTGTTTACATTCCTTTTAAGTATTGCAATGAATAAGAAACTCGTATTAGGACGATTTTGCAAAAATAGCATAGTGATAGTCCCCGGTAGTAACGGTGAATTAGGTTGCTACGGTGTCACAACTACAAGAGCGAATCTAATACAAATTAATTTGGCTTTTACAGATCTATTCCTTGGGATACAACTTTTATCGAAAGGCATTCTTTGCATACCATTGGCTAATGACATTGTGTCGGATTCATTTTCAGTTGTTTTAGCCAAAACGGAACAATATGGTGATTTTGCAGAAGATATGTGGGATGTAAACACTCGTGTTAAAGAACAAATGTCTCTTTGCCAAGATGACGACCAAATCCTGCAATGACTAGGGAGCCCATATAGTATATGTCCGCCATTTGCAACGTCCGCGTTGACGCTTCCCGTAGTCAACCCTCCGTGTCACCTAGCATATTGAAGACGGTGCTCTAGAAACCACCCATGCGACCCGGAAATGAAGGTCATCAAGGCAAGAAGACATTTGACATCAAGTTCAGCAATGCACCTCAAGGTTTCGATGGACGTTGATTTTGCCTCCACCTGAAGAATTGCATCGACGAGATTCACCAGCCCTGTTTTGCACGAGGTGGATTAATGTTCCACTCCAAGGCCGTTTTGGACGCCAGCATGTCCCTAGCCAATTCGAGCCCACAGCCGGTAAATAAGATAACAGGGCAACGCTATAATAAACCATTGAATGTATGAAGAAATCGCCAAATTTTGCCTGTAGTTTGGTCTAATTTCCGAGCTCTCCTGCCATATCGCCGTCAATTGTCAGGCGCTCTCGGTGGCAGTACTAAAACGTCTGCAAATTGCGATGAAGAAGTTCAAACCACCTTCAGCCTCAGTTTGCTTCCCTCCCCCCTCCTCATTTAGGTTTCTAAAACGTGATTTCAGCAATCCCCTTCCTGCTGGATAGCATTGCCTTCATGTTTATGCATTCCACTCTCAGTCGTTTACTTCAACTCTGTAAATGCATAACAACAAACTCCCTGTCTCTCTTTTCTGTCTACTTTTAACTGCCAAAGGATGAGTGATGCGCCTCCTGTTTAGTGATATTTTATAAGAATCTGCAAATATCACATCTTCCGCATTTGGAGTCACCAAGAGAGCCCTTCACGGAAAAATATGATAGAAAATTTAAAGTCTGGTTTTCACTTATTTTTCAATGGTGGCTGCAGTGTCAAAAACAAAAGTTGTATCAAATTTGCAAAAGATTATTGCAAAGGTGTTGCTTATTACTGCGGCTATTCTTCCCAAGTGAAGAACTTTATGACTGTATGTTAGCCTGAGGTCAGAACTTGCGGGAAACCTAGATTTTTGGGCTTTTAATAGTGTGTTGGTCATTTAATAAACAAAATGTATGATCTGATTCCAAACTTCGGTTATGAGGTTAAGCATAACAGTGTACTAAAGTCTTATAAGGGAACTGGGAAGAAACAAAGCCGTGAAAGTAAGAATTGCTTCCTGTATTGACCTTGACTATAAAATAGGACCGTATTGGTATTGCAAATGGGGTAGAAGAGTCAAGATGATTCAGAAACAAAAATGTCAGGCTCACTTTTCTAGCTGATTGGAGTGATGAATGATTAAACCTTAGTGGCTATGCGCACACACAACACACACAGGACCAAAAGTAGCTACTTCAGGTGGAAACGAAGCAATAAATCACTTTCCTTCACCTTCAGCAGAACGGAATATCACCCACTCAACATTTTCACACTTTCAACAGCACAGCGAGATGACGAAAATACAAACCATATTTCAACATGATGTATATGCCATGAAATTGAGCACAGCAAATCTAGACTTTTAGAAGGAAACTCCAGAATACGCCCCACCATCGATTCAAGGCAAAGCAGTTGGTGAATGGGTGGCCAATCAGAAGCCAAGGTTATCCCCACACTTGTCTGTGCAGGCTAGGGAGATACCCAGGCGTGGATACAAAGCGCGTGCCGTCTTGCCCACTGGGCACAAACGTGTCCCTGCACGTTCGCTAACAAACACCCACACACATACATATCTACGCGATGTCAGCGTTGCTGCGCATTAAACTCTCTCGCTCCGACAGCTCCGTGCCCTGGGGCTTCCGTCTGGAAGGTGGTCTGGACCTGGGACATGCGCTCAACATTCAGAAGGTCACTCCGGGCAGTGTTGCCGAGGCCTGTGGTGTCAAACCCGGCGATATCATTGTGAGCATCAATTCTGCGGATACGCGATTCATGAAACACGAGGACGCAAAAATGGAAATTATTCGGTCCAACAATGCATTTGAAATGATCGTGGAGAGGAATGACGGTGGAAACTCCATGGCTGTAGGAGCTTCCATTACCCTTGACCAGGTTTCCACCACTTCTGAGGTAAGTACTCAACCGACCGACATCAACGGGGGAGTTGAAGTGATGTGCGGTGTCCCGAAAGCTGGTACAGCAATGATCTCTCAGGGTCCAGACGGGAGGTTCCAACGCCTCTCTCACTCATCTTATAACTCTCCCATGGGTTTGTACTCAAAGAGCAATGTAAATACCTCCTTCAGAAGTACAGTTGCTTCGGCAGGAGCAGATCCATCAAAAATCCAACCGGCTCCACAAATCTTCGGTGGAAGTATGCGATGTGGATCATGCCAGGAACTCATCACAGGTGGACAGTTTGTGAGAGTGCAGGGCCGGATCCCCATGCATCCCTCGTGTCTCAAGTGTTGCAAATGTGGCATTGGACTGAGGAATGTAGGCTACTTCTACATAAACGAGATGCTTTACTGCGAGACTCATGCCAAGCAAGTTGGTAGACCACCAGACTCAAATGTGAAACCTGTGGTGATTTACAAGTGACTGGCTCCTCCTTCTCCCTCGCCTTCTCTCATCTCCCGTTCTCGTGAGACTCAGCCTTCATCTTTGGGTGATGCGTCTTTTCTACCAAAGCGCCTGTTTATTTATATTAATTTGATCGGACAACCTAAATATATATTTGTTCATATAGTTTTTAAAATATTTTTAATAAAAAGCTCACGAGGTCATGTGGTTATTCGGGTATTCACGTGAATAAATTCACTAATCAACCATTTAAAGGGTAGTAAACGTAAGCTGCCTAAGCTTAAATAAAGATTACATATTATATACAACGCAGTAATAGTCTGCTAAACATTCCCTGGATTCAAAATTCAAATTTATAACGCTGAACACGCTCAGTTGTTATGCCCTAATGTAGTATCCATATTCATTACCAGGGGGATCTTAAAATTCTCCAGAGTATCAAAGAAAAATCATTATGTTAATTTTAAGCATAAGAAAATATTCCAAATGTAATGCTTTTCAGTGGGTCACCGTGAAATACGCCTAAACAAGACCGCATTTACAGCAAAACGCATTAGATGATGTACAAACATTGCTATGACCTCGACGCAAACATATCTAGCTGATGTGAACAAACGAAATGGTCATATTTTTACTCGCATTCCGAGTAAAACTAAGGTGACAAGTTCGAGGAAAGTTGTTGACCTTAAATCTACATTCCACAAAGTGCCCTTGTGGCTAGTTGATTACCTGAAATTTTTTACTCCTAGTAAAATTTTATGGGCTGAATAGTAGGTTTTAATGTTTTTATGACATATGACAAGCTTACAGACTGCAAAGCATAACTTTTTTAGCTGTGAGCGAACTAATTCCAATTTCACAAGTTTTGGAAGTTCGAAAAGTATGGTACTTAATTGTCTACTGATAAGTAAAAAATTATTATAATCTTCATTTTTTAATTTTGACCTATGAATAAAATTCTGAAGACACAATAGAAAATATCTCCGCATTTCTAGCAAAAGGCTGTCGCATTAACGAGCTTTTTCGGCTGCTGTGAAACACTTGGGAAACCTACAAAACCCATCATTTAAGCTGCAACTGAAAAAGGGCTTTCACTATTCCCTCATTTCAAGAGCATGAAGTGCTGACTCAATGAGGCAAATATTCGTGACTTTTAACATTTCTTCTAGTTCCCAATTTAGAATTTAAGCATATACACGGGTTTAATGTTTTGCTGTTGGTCTTACATATTTTATGGGGAACATGATAAAACCTGATCTGTTGAACAATAAAATCTAACACGCACGACGGTGAGTGAAAGGCTTAACATTGAGTGGATGCCAGGGCAGGCGAATGGGCAGCGGAATGTCATCAAGGTTAAGTCAGGTCACAAAATTACATGCCCCGATGATCTGAAGCAAAAAGGTAACAGAACGTAGACAGTGAAGTGAGATTTTTTACGCAGAATGCGTGCATGCCAGATTCTACACAGCATGACATTCAATTAATGGCGCAGTTCTCTACCAACCTGGCATGCATATTTGCTTCTAGGGATGCAATTAGTGCTACCTTGATGTGAAGGAATCTGCCTAAAAGGCAACATTTTTCCGCATTGCCTACCTTGGAAGCACCGTCCTCGACCCTCCATGTGTATGACAACCTTATATGGACAAGTCATCTTCGAATCAAAGGTGTTACAAAATTTTGTATCTGGATGCACAACGAAATCAGCATTTGACACTTAAATATGCCGTCCCAGTTGTCAAATGCCACAAATTTGAACTCATAAATAGTGTGTAAAAATAGGCATTTGATGTAAAAGGCAAGAGTATTGGAGACAAAACGTAATCAATCTAATCATTTTTGAGAGGTTAAGGGGGTTTTGTCTGATATGAACTTAAGTAGGTACTCAATTATCTCGTAATTCGTTCACTCCAACTAACAAATTAAGTGCGGAATTCAGGGAGAAATTTGGGGCAGACTAACTATTTCCTAGCCACAAGTTACATGATTTATCATTCTTTAGTACTATGTGAATCAAATAAAGTGATTTTGATGCGATGTTTTGCCTGTAAATCCTTTTAAAAATGATCCTCTCCCAATCCGAAGGCATATTTTGTCAAAATGGGCCATCTACAAGGTGCAAGGATAAGTGACCCCGAAATCGGGGTATTATAGCAAGTATTCCACTGGGAATTTATCGCCAGACCAAATACCCACCAACAAATATTTCTCGAGCTATGTGGATAAAGCAATTAAGTGGAACTAATAAGTAAATTCCAAGACATTCACATCAGCCCCTTTTCTCACCCTGATCATTTTGATGGTCTTATTCAAATATTATATAAATGCAATACCCTCGCTTTCAAACCAATCCGTAACAGCATTGCGTGTTAAGTCTCTTGCATTTGATCAAACTCCCATCTTCTCAATTACGGATTT